CCAAGGCCTCGCTGACGCTGTTTCGTAGTTTACTGTTCCTCGGTCCTGCTTTTCTGGGTGTTCCGCTAGAGGCGCTGTTGGTAGTTTTCGTATTTTTCGTAGCGGTTGTGGTAGTCAATATTTTTCAGTATATAGGTTTATAGATATACATGCATATGCATGCACAGACAGACATATACACACACGCACACACATACACACACACACACACACACACACACACACGACACACACACAACACACACACATACACACACGCGCACACACACACGCACACACACATACATACATACATACATACACACACCACACACACATACACACACACACACACACACACACGCACACACACACACACACACACACACACACACAACACACACACACACACACACACACACACACACACACACACACACACACACACACACACACACACACACACACACACACACACACACACACACACACACACACACACACACACACACACACACACACACACACACACACACACACACACACACACATATATATATATATATATATATATATATATATATATATATATATATATATATATATATATATATATATATATTCTTATATCTATAACTATAACTGTATCTATATCGATAGTAGTAACTGAAATGATAATGAAAACAGTAGTGCTAATAATGATAATTATGATTGTTTATATGTATATATCTATATAGAAACTCTAACTAGGCTACTAGTAAAACAGTAGTTAATATAATTTTTCACGATGATTGATTTAATGATATGACTAAAAAATCATAATTACTGCCAATAGATTAAATCACATGTATCACTGGTTTAATTAAGACATTAACTGGCTAAAATTAGATCAATCATTAAGACCTCGCAATTCCATAAAATGAAGAATGATAGTGAAATCTGGGTGGAGAATTCCGTAGACTTTTGCCGAATTCCAACTCCATCTGCGGTACGTTTCCCATGCTATTATGGAAGATAAATCACTTCCCATTCCCACTTGCAACATTTCTCCCAAACCTGCTTGCTGTGGCACTGTTTTACATGCGTGGCTGTGCGATTTTCATTTCCGCTGAATTTTACTAAAGAGTGGGGCTGTACCGAGAGCATGTGCCTAATCCAAGAGGTTTAAGTGTGATGCTTGCGATGTCTTGTACCTTTTTAAAATCGTCTGTGCATTGGTGGGTTAGATGTCGTTCTCTTGGCTTTATTTGCCGTAATATTTAGGATTTTTTTCCATTTCATACCTTTTATGCGAATATTATTATTATTATTATCATTATTATTGACACGATCATCGTCGTCACTACCTTCATCATCATCTTTATTTGTACCTTTGTTATTAGTATTGTTGTTGTTGATAATGATAATTTTGGTGTTATTATGAATACTTTTCTTGTCATTGTTGTTATCATACATACATGCATACATACATGCATACGTACATACATACATACATACATACATACATACATACATACATACATACATACATACATACATGCATTCACGCATTGAAACAAACACATATACATACATACACACACATATAGCACATTCCTCCATACACACATCAATAAATCCATGCAGAGACGGACATACCTAGAGATTACCCCGCATTCCCTCAGTGCGATATTCAATCTCATCCGCTGCCTCCATCTCCTTCCAGATGAAGCTGTACAACTCCAGCTTCCCGGCGTCAGAGCACGTGCTGTATATGGGGTGGGTGTGCGAGGGGGTACTCAACCAGAATCTTCCGTGGCAGAACTGGAAGCCCAAGTTCATCGCTTTGAAAGGAACCGATATCTACATGTTCGACACGCCGCCGGTAAGTTGTTGGGGTGGGAGAGAGAGAGAGAGGGAGGGGAGGGTGGGAGAGGGGGAAGGGAAGGTGGGTGGTTGGAGATATGCGTGCGTGTGCGTGTGTGAGGAGAGAGAGAGGAGAGAGAGAGAGAGAGAGAGAAGAGAGGGGGGAGAGAAAGGGAGAAAGAGAGGAAGAAAAAGAGAGAGAGAGAGAGAGAGGAAAAGAGAAGAGATATACAGGCAGACAGACAGTCAGTTAGACAGTCAGAGTAAATTAAATTTAAAGTGAATCCTCATTTTTACGAGTAAAAGGGATAGGTGGGGAGAGGAAAGCAGATTTGTGTGTGTGCGTGTATGAGTGTGTCTGAGTGTTTTTCCCTGTCTGTCTATATCAGTGAGTGTTGCGCTTGTGTCTGAGAGTGAAGTGATGAGTTGTAGTGAGGAGATGAGTATTTCAGTATATGATTAATACTGAAATGGAAAGAGAAGAGAGAGGAGCACAGGATAAGTAGATCACAGAGAGATAAAAGTGATACGAGTGAGAAGAGGGAGTCAGTGGGTGTAGAGTGAGATGATGAATTACCATTGTAAATGATGATGAAATACTTGAATAAATGCAAAAACATGAAGCAAAAAATAAATGAATAAGTAAATAAAAGTTGATTTCGTGAATAGAATGGAGCACTGGATTTTTTTCCTTCATATTTAGTTAATTATCATCTGTCTCCTTAATATTTCACGAGACAGCGATTCTGTTCCGCTGGACTTTTATCTAGATTTAAAATTCTCTCCTAATGAGGCCAGCCAACTGAATTGAGTTTCCTTTTTTGCAATTTGTAGAGAAATATATCATCCTAGCCACATTTCTATCTGAAATATAACCTAGAAACAAAACTTGTTCAAGACACGTATGAAGAACATTTTACGCTTTTCTCTTATCCCCCCTCCCTTTGTTTTTGTTCACGGGGAAACTAATGGTTTGTAGAAAGTAATGCCGCTTGTCTGAGGCAAGAAAAATGAAGTAAAGCTTCGGTGATCCCCAAACACTCGTAAAGGGAGATGCCACGGGATGGGTCAATTCTTGTGGGTCAAGGAAGAGCAGGGGTTGGAACGTGGGCGAAGGGTTAGGGCTTGGTGTGGTAGGGGCCAGTGCGTCGAGAGAGTGGTTATATGGGGCTGGAGAAGGGGTTTAGATGGGGGTTGATAGCATGGGGTGGGCGTGGAAGTGCCTGTAGGTTCGGCTCGGAGCATAGGGTGGGTTTAGAGTAGGATGGAGGATGTGGCTAAGGGCAATGGGTCGAGAATGAACGGGGTCAGTTGAGAGGTGTAGCATGATAATAATTATAATGATAAATGATATGATAATAATAATAATAATAATAATAATAAGAGTTTATTAAGTAAAGTTATAGTTACATTAGTAAAATGGTTACTTTAAAAAGTTATCAAATCTAATATAGGGTATGGTTGCTATCAATATTGGATGGATGACACTTTGGTTCACATAACTTATTGTTAACATCCTCGCGAAGCTGTCTGCATGGGATATATATGGGGAGGGTCAGGGCGTGGGTTATTGTATGGGGTAGTATGGCCGAGAGGAGGTTGGGAGAATAAATCAAGATTAGGTTGGCCTGGAAACAAGGTGGAAGCAAGATTGGTTTGGATGTTAGATCAAGACTGCGTCGGTCTATGGAGTTGCTTAAAGTTGAGAGAGCTGTGGTTTCCAGACCGAGGTTATGAAGCGAACTCGTATGCTATTACAGTAAGAATAATACTCTAGGGGTGTTTTAGAAGCCAAGACTAGGTTCTAAATTGTGCTTAAATCTGAAATGGGTTACGCAAGTTATGGAAAACTAGAACAGCAGTAACTCGAGGTTGGAAGACAAGGATACTAGAAACGAGAGAAAAATACAAAAAGGATAATCAGATCAACTTTTTTGAAAACGATAAAATGGCCTTCAAATCATCTTATCAACATTTAAACTTTCAATCATATTTGTGTTCTAGTTCAGGCAAAAAAATGTATATTGTTATTAATATACTATGAACTTCCTCCACGATTGAAATACCTGCTTTATGAAATACATAGATGCTACTCCATGTTTCAAATAATGCCATTTGAGAGTTTGGGTATTTAATTAATCATTTTTTGAATTATAAGGTCATATGTTGGGAGTGGTTTGTCCTGTCTGAATATTTCACTTTTGTAAATTACTGCAGCGGGATATCTGTATATATATATATATAATATATATATATATATATATATATATATATATATATGGTATATATAATATATATATATATATATATATATATATATATATATATAATATATATATATATATATATATATATATATATATATACGACTGACGTATTGCAAATATTGTGATGTACAGTAAATTCACTCATATACAGACAGGAGCTGCACGCGCAACACACACACACACACACACACACACACACTCAAACACACACACACACAATACACACAAAAGACGAAAAGACAAACAATGAAAAATAGAAGGATGGATAAATATAAAAAAATATATAAACAATATCGTCGTTCTAAGAAAACATATTATGAGTCATGAACGCTAAAGCAATTTATTTCTATCATTCACGCGAAAGCTGCGTTTCTCTCTTTCTTTCTTTCTTTTTTCCCTTTTTTTTGCAGCTTATTTCTTTGGGGAAAAGGTGCTTGAAAATACAAATTTATACGAGATACTTCAGCTGACACGTTAATATTGCCGCTGCTCTCCGTGGGGATGTTGATATGGAAATGCTGGGTCGGAGATCAAACGCATGGCGGACATTTCTTTGTCTTTCTTTTTATTTTCGTGATTTTTTTCTACTCATTTTTCTTTTTTCTTTTTTTTTTTCCTTCTTCCTCTTCCTCTCCCACGACTTCTCAGTCTCTTTCTCCCTTTCCCTCTACCCCCAACCTTGCTTTCTCTTTATTCATATCTCTGGGTATCTATTGGATCTTTATCTATCTAGCTATCTATTCTACTTTTCAATCTTCATCCCTATCTCTCTTTCCCTTTTTTTTCCTCTTTCTTTCCTTCTCTTTCTCTCTATCCCTCCCTTTCTCTCTCTCTCTCTCTCTCTCTCTCTCTCTCTTTCTCTCTCTCTCTCTCTTCTCTTCTCTCTCTCTCTCTCTCTCTCTCTCTCTCTCCTCTCTCTCTCTCTTCTCTCCTTCTCTCTCTCCTCCTCCTCCTCCTCCTCTCCCCTCTCCCTCTCCCTCTCTCGCCCTCTCCTCTCCTCACCCTCTTTTCCTCTCCCCTTCTCTTCCTTCCCGTCTCTCTCTTCCCTCTCCTCCCTCTCCTCTCCTCTCCATCTCCCTCTCTCCTCTCTCCCCTCTCTCTCTCCCTTCTTCCTCTTTCTTCCCTCTCCTCTTCCTCTTCCTCTCCCTCCTCTCCTCCCCTTCTATTCCTCTTCTCTCTCTCCTTTTCCTCTCCTCTCTCCTCCTCTCCATCTCCTCTCTCTCCACTCCCCTCTCCCTCTCCTCTCCCACTTCTGCCTGTTCCTTACGCTAGCAATGAGCAACCAGACAGATGATGAATTACTTCCTCCAGCTTATGTTTTTTCGTATTTTTTCGCCTTTGTATGGAAAGTCCAATTCATTTCGCTCAGGAAAATAGTTGCCGTCACTCGCGGGACAAGTGGCAAGGCCCATTGCATCAGCTGATGAACACGTTTTGAACATGTTTGCCAGTAAAGGGAAATCAGGTGTGACTCAGAAGTCTGATTCGTTTTTCATTCTATTAAAATCCAATTCGAACAATCAGTGCTATAACGATTTTGTATTTATTGAATAGATAAAAACCTTTATGATTGCGTGTTGATTAAATTATTAGTTTAATCTATTGGTGTCATCGAATTTTACTTCTTTATATATATATATATATATATATATATATATATAATATATATATATATATATATATATATATATATATATAAATATATATATATATATATATATATATATATATATATATATATATATATATTGTGTGTGTGTGTGTGTGTGTGTGTGTTGTGTGTGTGTGTGTGTGTGTGGTGTGTTGTGTGTGTGTGTGTGTGTGTGTGTGTGTATGTATATATGTATGTATGTATGTATGTATATATATATTTATCTACCTCTCTATCTATCTATCTATCTCACACACATACTCTGTGTCTCTTCTCTCATTTTCCCTTTCCCAGATTTATTCTTTTATTCCTCAGAATCTAATCTAAAATTTATGTGATTATCTTACACCTGAAAGTCATGAATATTCAGAATAATTCAATTGCTTCATAGAGATTTAATTTCCATTCCAAACCGAGAAACAGAAGATTTTAACAATTATCCAACTTGTGTATGTATATGTATGTATGTATGTATGTATATATGTATTTATTTATGTATGCATGTATGTATTTATGCATGTCCGTACAGTCTATGCATGTGCCAAAGGGATAAAAGAAAATAGACAGACAGATAGATAGATGGTTGGTTGATTAATAAATAGACTGATAGATGAATAGATATAAAGACAGAAGATAAATAGATAGACAGATAGAAAATAATGAAACAAATTGATAGTTAGATGAATAGATGATTGAATAGATACATAGCCAGAAGATAGACAAAAAGATAGATATATAGATGGATGGATAGTAAGACAGGTGAATGGTAGACAGATAGGTAAACAAATAAGTAGATAGAATATATAGACAGAAAAAAGAGGTAGAGAAGGGGGAAGATAGAGGAGAGGCGAGGAATAATAGGTGTTTAGATGTGTATGTGTGTGTGAGAGAGAGATAAGGAGAGAGAGAGAGAGAGAGAGAGAAGACAGAGCCAGAGTCAAAGAAAGAGAGAGGAGAGAGAGGAGAGAGGGGGGGGGAGAGACAGACAGGCAGAGAGGCAGATAGATACAAAGATAGAGTAAGAGAGAGAGAGAGAGAGATGAGAGAAAAAAGCAGAAGACAGACATAGAGAGAAATATGATAAAAAGAGAGTCGGAGACAGACGGACAAAGAGTGAGAAAGACAGGCAGACAGAGAGACAGAGTTAGAGCCAGACAGACAGACACTCACACAGACAGACAGAGACAGGCATACAGAAAGAAAGACAAAAAAGAGAAACCAAATAAAAATAAGATAAATCATAAAAAACACGTATTCATAAAAAAAACACAGACAGACCCTCACAGAGACACAGAAAGAAAGACAAAAAAAGAAACCATATAAAAAGAAAACAAATGATAAAAACATGTATTCATAAAAATAAGATACACGTAAAAACACAGACAGACAATCAAACAGACACAGAAAGAAAGACAAAAAAAGAAAAATAAAAGAAAACAAATAATAAAAACACGTATTCATAAAAATAAGATACACGTAAAAAAGAAAGAAAAACACACCGACACACAAAAAGAAAGAGAGAAAAAGAGGAACCAAATAAAAAGAAAACAAATTATAAAAACACGTATTCATAAAAATAAGATACACAAAAGAAAGAAAAAACACACAGACACACAAAAGAAAGAGAGAAAAGAAAACAAAAAAAGAAAACAAATTATAAAAACACGTATTCATAAAAATAAGATACACAAAAAAAAAAAAAAAAAAAAAAAAAAAAGTAAAAAGTAAGCTCGTATCCCCGACGTGGCTGATCTTCTCGAGTGTGCCTGTGAGATGGCGTCTTCAATTCCACTCCCGATTCCACTGGCGAGAAACCTATTTATATATTGAAAATCCTCTTCTCTCTTACTTACTCTTTCGTTCTTCCGATTCCTGGCTCTGCGGGTTTCTACTTTTTTTTTGGCGTCTTCTTCTTCCTCTTTCTTGTTTTCTTTCTTGTCTTCTTTCTTTGTGAAAGGGTTGTTTTGTTGTTTTCTCTCTCTCTCTCTCTCTCTCTCTCTCTCTCTCTCTCTCTCTCTCTCTCTCTCTCTCTCTCTCCTCTCTCTCTCTCTCTCCTCTCACTCTTCTCTCTCTCTCTCTCTCTCTCTCTCTCTCTCTCTCTCTCTCTCTCTCTCTCTCTCTCTCTCTCTCTCTCTCTCTCTCTCTCTCTCTCTCTCTCTCTCTCTCTCTCTCTCTCTCTCTCTCTCTCATCTTTCTATCTAATCATCTATCTATCTATCAATCTATCTATCTCTATCTATCTATCTATCTATCTATCTATCTATCTCTGTTTATCTATCTATCTATCAATCTTTCTATGTATGTATGCATGTATGCATGTATGTATATATGTATGTATGTATGTATGTATGTATGTATGTATGTATCTGTCTTTCTACGTGCGCGCGCGCGCGCGTGTGTGTGTGTGTGTGTGTGTGCCCCTCTCTCTCTTTGTGTATGTGCTTGTTTTACCACTTTCCATTTCACTCTCTGTTCTTCATTTACATTCCCTCTTGTTTTCATTCAACATTCTCTCCTTCCCCCACTCTCCTCTTCAGTATGTTCCTTTTTCCTCCGCGATTCCCTTCCATTTCCTTTCTTTCGCTTTCTCCTTCCATTCACATCTGCTGGAGGCCGATTGGCTGTTTGAAGAAGACAGTATTGCTTTGGAAGACCACTCCTCGAAAATTCTTTCATCCAGAAATTCTTACTTTTAACTAAAAATCTGAAAGAATTCGATGATGACAAACTTTGTGATCGTTCAACTTGCTGTAATTTCCTTAAGGTTTTCTAGGATTTGTCATTTGAATTAAGTCATTATAGAGTCTTCCTAATTCCTTTTAATTATAGGTAATTATAGGTGCAATTGCAATTATCAAGTGATTAAAGTATGATTGTTACACTGCTGCAGATGCTGTTGTTAAGACTATTCAAGAGAAATGCGGTTTCTATAAATCCAGTCACAGTGTTGCTAGCACTATACCCACCTTCCACCTTATTGGAAAGACAGCCACTATACCCACCTTCCATAATTGAAAAAGACAGCCACCATACCCACCTTCCATAATTCAGCCACCATACCCCACCTTCCATAATTCCCACCTTCCATATTGGAAAGACACCACACCCAATACCCACCTTCCATATTGGGGAAAGACAGCCACACTAATAGGGGAAAAACGCTATAACTGTCTTCACTAACTGGGAAAGCCAGACACTATAAACACCTTCCATAAATCCCTACAACCCTACGCTATAACTTGAACGAATCAACATCGCGCACACAAGATACGGTACAACTAGCTACAACGGTTTTAGTTAATGATCTTTCCTTGCCCCACAATTCAGTCCGAAAGCCCTTTCCATGTAGTATTCATTCCTCTCTATCTATCTATCTATCTCACTCCCTTCCTCCCATCCTTCCTCTCTCTTTCTCTCTCCCTTTCTCCCTCCCTCCCTCCCTCTCTCCCCTCCCCCCTCCCTCCCTTCCTCTCCCCCTCCCTTCTCCCCCTCCCCTTCCCTCCCTCCCTTCCCTCCCCTCCCTCTCTCCCTCCTCCTCTGCCCCCTCTCCCTCTCTCCCTCCCCTCCCCCTCCCTTCCTCTCCCCTCCCTTCCTCTCCCCCTCTCCTCCCCCCTCCCTTCCTCTCCCTCTTCCCTCCCTCCTCTCTCCCTCCTCCTCCCATTACGTAACGACTTCTCTTCGTACCCCAGTTCCCTCCCAAGCCCCTTCCTGTCGTATTCATCCCATGGTAAGTCCTCTGGTATCACTTTCCTCCATCTTCTTGGTATTGGTAATTGCTCACGGTGGATGTAATACGTTCCTTACAGATTACAGCTGGGAACCGATGGAGGAGAAATCACTTGCTGGATCATCGGGGATATTGGCTTCCTTTTTTTCTTCTTCTTCCCGATTTGTTTATCATCCTTGTTCTCTTTCTCTATCTATCTATCTGTCTATCTTTATCTGTCTTTCTATCTATTTATTTATCTGTCTCTCGCTCTCTATCTATCTATCTGTCTATCTATTTATTTTTTCTATATATCTATCTATCTATCTCTATCTATCTACCTGTCTATCTCTATCTATCTACCTGTCTATCTCTACCTATTTATATGTCTATCTGTCTGTCTGTATGTCTGTCTTTCTCTCTCTATCTATCTATCTATCTCTCTATCTATCTCTACCTATCTATCTGTCTATCTGTCTGTCTCTCTGTCTCTCTCTATCTATCTATCTCTATCTATCTATCTATTCTCTATCTCTATCTCTATCTTCTATC